TTCAGCAGGGGGGACTGGCAAATGCTCCAGCTGCTCAATTGCATGTGGCTTAATGGGTGGGAATGTGTTGGCATGGCTTTTCTCAGCGTGGTGTTACCCATCCTGATGGCTGCTCTTGGGCTATGTAAAGGATGGAAAGGTGAGCTGGCACCACCAGTCTGGTTTTGAAAGAAAGTGAAATATAATGTGATAACTGAGCAGATTTTTTGAGGCGGCCAGTTTTGAAGGTAGCCATCTACATCTGTCCCATCTCATATATTAGACAGCTAAGTAATTTTTTTTTGCAACTGTATCAGAGCGCCTTTCTCAGACCTAGAGCTGATTTTACTTATCCTTAAAGTACAGCATTACTAGCCCTTTAGTTAGAAGCTTTTCAGGCAACTTGTAGAATTCCTGGATTGCTTTAGGCTCACGCTGTTAAGTTTGTTCTTTCTGTGAGTCTTTTTCCAACCCTTTCCAGGAACTTCTGCCGTCATCTTCCCAGCACTACCTTCTTTTTTGTTAATTTTCCTACCAAATGTGGCATTGTGATGAACAAGTAGAATCTTTTAGCAAGACTGTGTGCCTCTATATATGAGAATGCAAATGGAATAAATGGTCTATTATAATGTAGGAGTGCTTCAATTAGTATGATTTAGCTACTCAAGGGCAAGTTCATGCCCTTTGTTTAAACCTTTCCAAATTAAACTCAGGAGCAAATTAATTGCAGTTATCACAGTTATCAGATGTTTAACTTCCAGGTCACATTTATTAACTCTTTCACCAATATTCCCTGTACAGTGATGTTGAGTTGTTTTGTATTTTAGGGCTCAGTATTTCAAATTAACCTCACTGGAGTATTTTACGCATTCAGCAAAGCCCAGTTTTTAACAGTATTACTTGTCTGAATGATAGTTGGCAGAATTACAACCCTGAGTCTTGTAAAGAATGTTAGTTACATTACAAAGACAGTTACAATACTTTTAGAATAGTTTATTGAAATTGAAATATAAGAACCCACTGTATTAAACAAAAAGCAGTATGTCTAATCTGTTGTCTTGGTTCTAATTCAGGTAGATAATGCTTTAGAGGAGAGTAATTTACAATCTGTGAATTGCCTATAGGAAGAATCATAAAACCATTGTTGTCCCTTATCGGTTTTTATTCCAGCTAGTGTAATTATTCAGGATGGCGTTCGCAGAAACATCTAATCCGTTTCTGAATCCCACTAAGCCCTTCAGTTTACTGATATTGTTTTTGCAAACTACTGGATATTAATTATGAGTTGCTGATAAATATATTTTCCTTAGTTTGAAATTCTTATCAGCACTTTAATTTCAATGCAACAGCCAACTGCTCTCCTATTTAAAAAATATACCAGGAATAACCTGATATCTATTGTAAATACACTGATATTTCTGGGGCTTTGATTTTTGTATTTTTAAAGAAATACATCACACTAGTTACTCAGAGTTATCCTGTGATTCACTGTACAACCGGTTTAGCACTTAGATCTTTTTGTTCTCAGAATAGGTTCCTACTTTGTAGGCAATAGTGTATTTGTTTT